CACATTGAACTAAAAGCTATTCGCGACGAATTATATTCTGTTTTCGGCGACGAAGCTCCATCTCACAGTACAGTTGTAAGGTGGTCAAAACGGTTTCGTGAAGGTGAACCACGACCTGGGCGACCTGTAACCGAGACAACATCCGAAAATATAGAAGAAGTTCGACTCTGAAAGGAACCAAAACCCTTAATGAAACAAAATTGTAGCGCTCATATTTCTGATTAAAATGAGACCTCTCCCAACTCTACATGGCCTTTCTTTGCAAACTTATAGAGTTTACAAGAGAAAGCTCTAAATGTTCCCTGCTAGCTCAGCTATAAATAAATAAGAATTAGAATTAAAATAAAAGAAATAGAATAAGATAAGAAATATAAGAAATAAATTTAGGGGTTTTCTTGTTAATTCTATAACTTTGCAAAGAAAGATCACTTAAAGCTGGGAGAGGTCTCATTTTAATCAGAAATGTGTGCGCTGCCATTATGCCTCGCTAAGAAGAGTTTTAGGTTCTTTTTCAGAGTTTCTAAAAACCTAGTTTCCTAGAAAACGGATTTTTGAAGGCTTAGTGGAAGCTTTCATGTTCATATTCGGAATTAGCGTGGTCGATTATCTATAACCCAGTGCGTTTGGCTGAAAAAGCGACGTAAGTTGAATATGTTTCCTTGTGAGCATCAGTCAACTCGTGTGGTATCCAGCGACCGGTAATTTTTTTTACCTTCGGATGGTCAGAAATAATTCGCACGATGGTACCGTGACTCAGACCAGTTTCCTGATGTATTTCATCAATTGTAAGATGGTCATCATCGTCGATAAGACCACGAACTTCTTCGATATTTTCGGTTGTTTTCTCGGTTACAGGTTGACCAGGTCGTGGTTCACCTTCACGAAACCGTTTTGACCACCTTACAACTGTACTGTGAGATGGAGCTTCGTCGCCGAAAACAGAATATAATTCGTCGCGAATAGCTTTTAGTTCAATGTGAAGTGCAGTACACACTTTAATGTAGAAACGAAAATTTTCTTTATTCATTTAAAACATCGGTGCCTAGCTTCCGTCGAACTTTTCTCATTTAACAATAGCAAATGGTGAAGGATGATACATTAAAGAAATATAGACACTACAAGTACATATGGGAAGAAATTTTATTTAAGCTTTCCGTGGAGTAGTATAATACTGGAACCACTACTTTTGGACTGCCCTAAGTAATAGACGTTCTATAACATCAAATGATGCCGGCGAAATATATGCTGCAGGAATCCAGGCAAATTCCGAATTTGCCTAGGCAAAATTAGAATTCTAACTCTAATTGATGATATATGCTAAAATATTGTACGCATATATAATGTCCACGCAAGACACACCACCTGAAAGTACTCGAAAGAACGTTTTCTCTTATTTTCTTGTTGCCTCAAGATTTTAGTTTCAGATAACGAAAACCGCAGGTCTTCAGCATCTTCCAGTGCAAAGTTATTAGACATACAGTGACTGGCTCTCTTTTTTGAAATGGATAGTAGATCATTCTTTTTTCGCATTATCCAGTTGACATGTGCACTTGCATCAAGTGGATAATCAGGTTTTTGTACTTATATTTTACGTATATATTGTGGTTCGATCATTTTGCCGTCACCATCCACACTCTTGGGTGAAGCTCACTTTGAAACTTTAATTCTTCAACTCTCTTTTTCTCACTTTACTTCACATAAATATTTGTAAAAAACAAGAAAAGAGGCGTAAATATCGGTCGATGGTGACGATGTACTGTAGATGTTCTGCGTATTGAAATAAAAACAGAAACAGAAATGACAAAGATCATAGTAGAATATACGTACAAAAATCTGATTATCCACTTGATGCGTGTGCAAATGTCAACTGAATAACGCGAGAAAAGAATGATCTACTATCCATTTCCAAAAAGAAGACCAGTCACTGTATCCCTAATAACTTTGCACTGAAAGATGCTGAAGACCTGCCGTTTTCGTTATCTGAAACTAAAATCTTGGGGCAACAAGAAAATAAGAGAAAACGTTCTTTCGAGTACTTTCAGGTGGTGTACCTTGCGCGAACATTTTGTAAGAGTTTTCCGACCAGATATACTTTCATAATTATTAATTAGTGTTTACTAAAAATATTCAGTTTTTTGAGAATATTAATTAGAAAACGCATGGCCTTCTATTAAGGCGTTTGAACTTTTTCCCAGACATGACCCTATACAAAGGGTGGCCTTCTACCCTGGCCGGTAGCTAGTTGTTAAAAACCTTGTTGATTGTTCCAGTACGCCATAGGAACACGCACGAAAAAAACGTATACAGAAGAACGCCATTGTCACCTA